TGGTAAGAAGAACCAAGAGAGAGACCTGCAGTCACGTGTTTCAAGAGAAGACATTTGAAGAGAGATTAGTAGGGAGAGGAAGTTCTAGCAGGAAGAAAATCAGAGTTTTGAAGGACATTTAAATGAAATGCTAAAATAGAATAGCAAGTAGCTTTTGTCAACAAGGGGGGAAAAAAGAGACTTTAATAAAATAGATATGACAAAGATAAAAGACTGACAAAAAAGAGAATTTCAGTGAAAAGGAGTGGGGGAAAACGATGTCACAAAAATAAGGTAGAGAAATAAGAGAAAGACAAAAGCTAGAAACTGAGAAAGAAAGTTCAAGAAGTAAGGATAATGGGGGGGAAGGTGCAAAAGCATTTTGTAACTAAATGGATGACCATTTATCTGTGCTTCTATACTTGTTATTTCTTTAGCTTATTTCTGCCTCAAAACAGAATAAAGAGATGAGGATGGATAGATAGTTATTTGAGCACTAGTTTATATGAATAGTTTTGGTAACCTGGTCTGGATTATGTAATTAAATAATTCAAATTATCTTGGTTACTATCTATTTTATTTAGGCCATTTCTTCCTTGGGTATCCTGACCTGTCTCTGGAATGGACATGGTGTGACTGTGTCTCAGTGTAAGGCTGTTCCTTTTCTTCTCCAGAGATGCTCTTTCCATATGTAGAATGGACCTGGGTGAGAACCCACCTGCTTGCTTGAGGAAGTCTTAATGCTGCAGATAAACACAGAAATAGTTGAGAGGTCACAGGACTCTCTTTTAAAAAACAGTGTCTAAACTGCTATTTATTAAGTGGTTCAGGATTCTGGATACCTTAAAATATTCTTATCAGGGAAGATTTTCAATCCTTGCACAGGGATGCACTTGGGAAAAATCGGGTTCTTTTCCCTCCCCACTTAAATGCAAACTGCAGAATATGTTATAATAAGGAAAGGAAAAAAAAAAAAAAAAAAAAAAAAAGCAAAACCCAGGGGTGAATAGGTCCTACATCTTCTAACCTCAGAAATTAATCAGGTTAAGCTTCACTATTTAATTATTTCAGTAGTATAATATTAAGTGATGAACTTAATTTCTGTCAATTCACCAAGTCATCAGGCCTCATCTACACAGCAAAAGGTAACCAGTTGAAGTGTAAGTTAAAGTGAAAAAAACCACTCATACCTGTGTAGAGATACATTAATAAGCTGATTCTGTAATATATATCAAATCTGGTGCAATTTTCCCATAGAAGCAGCTCTTGTGCCTTCTTTCAGCTGTAGTGAGATCCCATTATGTCTTGTTCAAGTGGAAGAAGAAACAAGTATCCTCCCAAATCATTGTGCTCTACAACGTATACTCAACAATCATGAAGGTTTCATATGCTTGTATCAATTGACTGTGATATTATTTAAAAAAATCCTATCTTTTCTAGTTAGTAAGGAATATGGTGTACATCTTGAATCTAATCAAAATGACTAACCAGTAATTTCACTTCAGGGCAAGCTTGTGAGTTATCAGGAGCTCTTCTCCAGAAAATTGGCTTGTATGACTTCAGAAGCATCTTCTCCCACCTTTCACACTGCTTTATAAAATGATGATACACAGAATTAGCTGTATAGGTATCAAAATATGCAAGGAATGCTAAATAATGGTTTCTTTTTAGGATTCTGTAATACCATCTCAATGTAGAGCCAGTGAACATGTCCAGGCTGGAGTTGCGTAGTACAGTTGAGGAAAGTGAATTAATAAAACCACTGGACCGTGAGCCCGCAAGAGTGCAAGTTTCTGCTGCTGTGCTATAGGCATAAAGGAAATATTTTCTTAAATATCATTTCCATTTTTGTTTAAGCTTTTTGTGAGGGAAGCAGCATGCTGTAGTTCGCATATTAATTTTTTTATTTTCTTCTGCCTCTTGGAGCTTGTATAATGAATGAGATAGTTAAAGGATAGCTTAGCAATTAAACTCAATTGTGTATGCAACTGTAGATGTTTATTTGGTGTTTGAAAGCAAATAGATAATATTTTACTTGGGTTTTTTTTTTTTTTTACATCATTATCCTTTTCCCCATGTATACAGTTTCTTTCCTTTACGACACAGTGACCATTTCTGAAAGTACTAATACTGTGAGAAGCAGAGGAGGAAATAATCATGGGACATGTGGATTGAGGATATTTTGCTTTCTGAAGACTTGTACAACCTTTTGTCTTCAGAAATATACACATACTTTTATGAAGCTATGAAACTAAAAGACAATAAACATGTTATTCTTTTTCTGAGAGCGTGTGTGTTGACCTAAGAGGAGTTGAGTCCTGGCTGAGTTATGGATCCTTGAAAATGATGACCCATTAGGAGACAGAGCTCAAATTTTATTCATAGAGAGGTTACTGAAAGTATCAACTGTAATTGTACACAAATAGTGACTGTGTATGTGAATGTATATATAATGCCATTTGCATTTTAAATTTGCCTAGGAGCATTTTGGGGGCAACTTGTTTTCTTCCATTTTAAAAAATCTGAATAGCACCTGTAATTAAGGGAGAAAACTGAGCCCTGGAAGCTAGGTAGGACTTCCATCTATTGATCCGTGTAAACCTGGCTTACACTGTCAGGGGAGAAGCAGTCAACTGCTGAGCTGCTTTGTCACTGACATAAGCTGAGAGAGGGTTTTTTTTCTTTTTTTTTTTTTTTGTCTATACTGTTTATACACCAGTCTATAGACCTGCTGGCTGGTTGAATTTTAAAGAGTGCGGAGGTTTAAAGACTTGTCCCCTGAGGGATGCTCTTGCCAGTTGGGAAGCGAGCTGAGGCTGCTCTGCAGAAGTTGTGTGCACGTGTGCTGGCTGGGGGAGGGACGGAGCAGAGCTGGGGGAAACGCTGTCCTCCAACTCAGCCTGGAAAATGCTGCAAAACATACCCATAATTTTCAGGTTGTTTAGTCAAAATATTGAGCTAATACCTTTGGTGGTTTTTTTGGTTTTGTTTTCTTTTTCTTGTGTGATAATTTATTCTGAGAGAATACAATGGGGAACATAAATGAATACATTTCCATACCCAATTCTGAGTCAGTGCTAAGCTCACCAGGCAGCAATTAAAATCCTTGGTAGTGAGGATCCTCCTATAGTGTGAGAATAGGTGCGGATTTGGAAAGAGAATTTAAATGGAGTATAAAATACTATTTCTTTGGAATGGGAAAAACAAGCTTTATGAGCCTGAAGTAAGAGACTATTTGGAAATGTTTAGGAAATTTCTGAGTTAAAAGTTTTGATTAGCTTGTTCTGCTTGCTTTCTTTTGTTAGAGTTTATTATTACTACTACCAGCATCATGTATGCTTGTTTCCTGCTTACAGAAATGAAAATGTTTACCTGCTCTGTTTGTATTGTGCTCCTCATGCTTCCACAGTGGCCACTCACAGCAGTCAGGATGGTGCTTGAGCAGTTTCTTTTGGAGAATATTATATGTACTGCTGTTGTTCATAATTAAGTTAATAACCTTTCTCAAAACACAGTATGTGGCTTTCATATCCTCCTCTATCTGTGCTGACAAAGTAAAAGTTCCAAAGATTTCTTGAACTGTCTTGTATGACTTAGAAATTCTGGAAAAATTAACTTTTCCATTTTGTACTGTATGACGATTTACTGGGGCACATCATATACCTTTAAAATATTGCAACTAGTGTATTGTATGCATGTTGTATACAGAGTCATCTTTTTCCTGAACTATTTGTCCCTTGCTGATTAACTTGCATGGGTTCTTCATGTTTTACACTATCCACTGAGCCGGGCAGATGTTTGAAGTAAATAGTCATTGTGGTGTGTAGGAATTTAAATACATAATTTCCCCTAATGGGAGTTGACTGTTCAACATGCAGTAAACGGAGAGTTCAGGCTGGAGAGTGCTAACATCTTAGATCAAGTTCTTAAACTCCCATGTGCAGCTCTGGAAATTTGCAGTCAATGTGCATTTTTCTGAAAGCACACACCTTGTGGGATAACTCGTGTATACAGCAGTATATCTGCTGCTGTTGGCCTATTACAGAAAGGGAATTCTGTAGCTTTGCTGACCGTGTTGACGTCGACTGTCTCTTCTTAGCTGAAGCATTTCACAGAGGGTTTGTTTTCCAGTTGGGAGCAAGGAAATAAAACCTGTTTTCCTGGGGTCTTGTAAGGTCATTGTTTAATACTAGCTGCTAACTGATCTGGTAGTTCACTTTTTTTTTTTTTTTTTAAAGAAAAATGTTGTCTAGTTTGAGAGCATTTTTATATTTTAATTAACACATTTTATTTGCCACTAAACAGCTTCTTAAATAAAATTCTGCAAGAAAGAGTGACACTATCCTTTCATATTATGGTACAAATGCAGATCTGGTGGATTCCCACCCCCCCCGCCTGCCTTCCCTTTATGAATAGTAAGACTTGCTTGTGAAACCCAAAGGGTTAATCATATAAATGTCTCCTTTGGACCAGCAGATGATTTCCATCATTTTCAGCATTTGACTATAGAACATGTATAGAGTTGTTATACCTCTCTGTAATTCATTCTGCTGCCAACTTCATTCCCTTTTCTCTGCCTGCATTTTAATTGAAACAACATTTGTATTTTTGAGCCAGGATCTGTCAGAAGTCCCTGTGGCTAGTCTGTGGTACAAGTAGCAGCAGACGTGGCTTACCCATATGGTGTGGTGCTTCTTGTAAAATCCATATGGCCTTGTTGAAGGGAATCCCAGCGGGGATGTGAAGGGTGTTAATACCCTTCAGGCCAGGCCTTTCCCTCCTGGGGCTTCTATGGCATTGTCTTTGCAATCTGCCAAAGCACAAACTTAATTCCTTTTTAATAATCAATTATTTCAGTCCAGGAACGTGTGCTGTATTTTTTGCAATCATATATTGCTTGAATTTATTATTTGTTATGAATTTTTTTTTTTTTTGAAAGCAAGCTGTAGGGCAGTTGCTAGCAAATACAGATAAAAACGTTTTCAAAATTCGAACTTTATTTCTTTTACTTGTATTTACAGGAAGTGCTGAACAGCGTTCCAAAGTTCTGCTTTCCTTTTGACATTGAAAGGTATGTGTTACAGTTATCGTTTATGTAAAAATATTTCCTAGAAAATGATGTTTAGCATAATTGCACGGAAAGATTTAAAGAAAAGGAAAAGATATTGTACTCCCTAAACTTGCACCTGCAGATAAGAAGAACATGTCCTTTGTGTTCAAGTATGAAATCACTAGTAGGAAATTATCACAGCAAAATGCAACCTTTACAGAATTTTAGGGATATCTCTTTCAAGACAGAGCTATTTTGCTCCCAGTTTTGTCCGTTACAACTGTATAATTGTAAACACCATCTGTGTTAATATAAGGATATAACACAGTTTCCTGCAAATGGCGAGCATCATAAAAAAATGTTACGGTGCACCAGGATATAAAAACTCACCGAGCAGTACTGAAAACATGTTGTTTGAGTTCAAAGAAATTAAGACTTTAATTGCATGGAAGTAACTGAATATGCAATTGATTTGTCTTAGAGAAGAATCAGGACCATTATTTATAATTAATTAGCCCTTACCTTTCTGGTATCAGTTATAGTGTGGCTTCTATGTAATGCTGCATGTCATTTAAATTGTTCCTATAAAACATTTCTATTAATTAAAATATTTATTTAGGCTTGTCAAAATGATTAATGGTAATTAGTTTAATCAATTGTACTCACTCAGTTTGGAAAACTCGTATTGTCCAAATCAGCAAAGAATGAATTAGAAGCTTGATTTGCATAATTAATGAAATATACACCCAGAGAGTGTGCAGGCTGAGCCGGTTTCAGAACAACATCGGCATCAGTTGTAGATGGAGACTCAAAGAAGAGAAGCATCTATCAGATGCAAGAAGCTACAATCTGTGGAGTAAAAGGTGGTGTGTGCACAGAGGAGAGAAGACAGGCTTTGCAGAAAACACCCTGGCAAAATAAAGATCTTCATAAACACAACTTCCCTGAAGTAAACTAGCTTCATTTAGTCTTTTATAGTTGAATTTAATTAAGTTGTTTGGGTTTTGAACTGGTTAAGCTCACTGTCCTTTAAGCTGTTTTAATGACTTAACTAATACAGTTGTTAGTGTTGGCTTTAAAGCATTAAAGTCTTTAATGTGCTTAAGATATGTACAGAATTCTGTTTAAAATTGGTAATGAATAATGGAAATAAAATTTGAGGATAACAAAAAAAGGTGAGGTTCTGTTGCTGCCATCCAGTGGCAAGAAGATAATCAGTGGCAGCAAACGATTATTTTCAAATAATTCATCTTGCGTTAACTATTTCTGTTGAACCATTCAGAAGACACTTAGTTGCTTGTAAGCTTAATCAATAAACTGTGGGAATACATGAATTTATAGCATAGCTAGGTATGTGTTTTAGCTGAGTATCCAAAGGGGGGGAAAGAAAAAAAAAAGAAAAGAAAAAGCTATGGGATGTTCATCTGTTAATACCCATGTTTGTCTGTTAATACCCTCCTGTGCCCTCCCCGCCCCAGACATGCTTTTTGACTCTTGGCCTCATCCTTGACTGTAAAGCAGTGCTCTAAAGGTGCAAAATTTCTACAAATTTCATAAAAATTGGCAGTTGGACAGAGGAAGGAGAGGTTTTTGGAAGCTGAGATAGACTGATGCAAGCAAAACCAGCCTGTTTGGTCTGGCCTGCTGACTGCTCAGGCAGTACTGTAGTATCTTTAAAATCAGCCACCACACTCACAGCTTCTTGTGTGAGTTTTAAGGGATATGTTGGGAGAACGAAAGGCAATGAGACATCATGAGAGTATGAAAGAGCATGGCCAAGGAGGAGAGGCAGAGCTATTGTGCAGAAAAGGACAGTCATACTGGAAACTCATTCAAGAAAGCAGGCAGCTGTTTACTGGCGAGCTATTTGTGTGAACAACTTACTGGCTGTGCGGTGTATATACCAGTTTCTACTCAGTTCAGGCATTTTCTGTAGGGTAGACATATATTATGACTTTTTTTCAAGAAAACTGTTCAGTTGTTTTCTGCTTTCTCAGTTTTATTTTTTGTTTTGAAATTTAGACTAATAAAGTATTGAGAAAAACACAGCTGTAGCTCCTTTTTATATGGCTTTTTTCCAATGGACATTTAAGATGAGCATTTTAGTTTTTGTCTAGCCATAACTGTGCTTTTCACTTGTCTGGTGTGTATATATATATTAAAAAAAAAAAAAAAATTTTTTTTTTTTCTTGTATAGAGGATCATGATAGACCATGCACCTAATAACCCCAAGCATTTTACAGGCAGTTTCAATGACAATTTCTGTACAGAAAGCTTTGATTGAAGTGAAACACAAAGTATCTGTTTCATTGAGCACACTGTACTTTAGAGAGCATAGTTTCTCCACCTGTGTTATGTGTACTACACATATATAAAACACTTCAAGCAATGTCTGATCCTAGTAAGAGCTAGAAATCACCAGTGCAAAAGTGATAACATCCACTGATGCTGCTGATCAAGATACCTAGAATAAAAAAAAAGTGACTCTGTTTCATAGATTGCTTCTGGGTTCCTACTGTATGGCAGAGTTGGAGGGAATGGAGTGTCTTTTCTGTTAACTAGCTAAAAAAACCTCATTAAAGTAGGAAATCTATATTCTTCAAATCATGGAAACAGGAAAGTTAAAGCATGGTGGTAAGATTGTTGTCACCTGTTTTCCTCTACCTCACCTGTATTAATTAGTGAATGAATTGAAAAGTGAATGAAATGAGAACATGTATTTGATTTTGTGTTATTCACTACGCTATAGTGATTGTAGACAGAGATCCAGATTTGGTTCTAACTATTTGATGCCTCTTACATCATCTCACCAGACATACTTACTTTGTCTTTTATGCAGATGCTATAAATAGCTGTACTCTACTCATTCTAATTATCAAAAGTACATACTGTGAATGGTGATTAAAAATCTATAGGTAACTCCCATTAAATTTAAACTGAAAGTCAAGCCAAAAAAGGCACAATGGTGTAATGTTTTGACCATGACTTAAACTTTGAGTTTTATATATATTTTTTTATTGAAAGCAAGCACATAATTTTGTTACTGCTGGTTATGGCTTAGATTTTATTTTGAAGGGGTTAAGAAATGAACTGCGTCATAGAAGTGCTTGAGCATTTGCTCCAAGAATCTATGTCTTTTTTGTGAATAAATGATTTTAGGCTTAATAAATGGTACAATTGTATAACATTCCAACAGTTTGGTTGTAGATATTTATGAATAAGTTCCCTTTTCTCTGCTGCAGAATTCCTTTCTTTGTTTCTTTTCCTATGGAATAGGAGGATTTAACATTTGAGAATGTAGGGATTTTCATTTCCTTTTAACGTTTGCTAATCTAATACTAATAAATCAGAAAAAGCACCTTGTCCTCCCTTTAGTTCCTTGAATCCTTTATGCAAATTCTGCATGTTTTTTTTCACTTTTCTTTCTCCAGCGGTCTTCCATATTTTCACTCTCAGCCCAAAAGTCAGGTAGAACTTTGCAGAGAGCCCACACCTTAATCTCTATATCCATTAGTTATTTAGCTGGATGATGACTAGTGAGCATGCAACTTCTCCTCTTGTTTCTTTTGGCCTCATTTAAAATGCAGTCCTAAGTTGTGCTATGTCAATGCTTGACCCTTCAAATCTGTGCTTTGAATCTCTCTCATTTGTCTCCACCTTAAATACTTCCCCTCTCTCCTTCCCTTCCTCTGTCTTTTCCCTTTCAGGACGCATTTCTTCTGCTGAATGTGTAGCACACGTGGCTTTTTAGCTAAGACACTTTGGAGACTGCCTGTAGGATAAGCATGGAGAGAATGATATGTACCTCATTAATTTCCCCTATGGCACTCACCTGATCACACGGAAGTGTTGTATTTTGGAGTGTAAGAAATGGCTCTACTGCTGATGCTGTAGAGGATTTCTCATTAGCAGTAGAATATTGCTCAAGTATGGGAATTACTGTGCATATTATTTAACTCATAATCTATTAGGCTCAATGAGTAATGATGGCAGGAGTGACATCACTTTCACTCTCCTGTTCCTGGCTAATGCTGTTTCTGTTGGTATTTCTGGTAAAAGTCTGTGTGCAGAAACACAGCTATGATCAAGACAAGTGTGAAACAATAGCTGGAGAGATCACTGGATCTGTAGATCTTGTGAAAGGCACCTATAAGATACGTTACACAAAAATGTTTGCCTTCATAGTAAATCGTTGAGAATGAAGAGTAAATAATTGAGAACGTATTTCAAGCTGTACAGGTGAAGATAAATAAACTATAACATCTCCTGTACATTTCAGTCATTCCAGTCAGTTTGCAAGATGGGTTGTGGACTCCAAATGCAGCAGTAGTTTTATACAATTGAGTTCTTTCCATCCTTTATCTCATTGTGTTACGGTATTTGCATATGTAATATCGAATGTATGTGTAAGAGAGAAATCTTTGTAAGGACAGGTTGCAGCATGAACTGTGCACTGTGGAAGAGTGTAACTATTGGTTTTGAATATGGGTTATTTGGTTTCCATGTGTGTGCAGAAGTGGACCTGCCTGAGAGGAAGCAAGGGCATACTGAGGGAGACATGATGTGCTCTGATAGACCCTGGGTGAGGTACAGTGGCCAGGGCCTCTGGACAGAGCAGGCTTGTGTTGCAACTTAAATACACCCAGTGAGACTCTTTACTAACTAGTTGTGGTTTCTTTTAATGCTTCTGTTGTTTTGAAAACATAACCCCAATTATAAGCTAACTATGCTTTTTATTTGTGGGAATTTCCTTATTTGGTGGTAGCTTTGTTACATTTTCGTCTCTTTGGTTTTCTGCCAAACTCTGTGGTTTTCTTCTTGTTCGTTTTCTTTCTGATGCATAAGGGGTTAGGGTTTCTGGGAAGCAGAGCTCAAGTCAGATAGCTCAGCTGGAGCAGAGGAGCCCTCCAAACAGGGAGCCTGAGCTGTGGAGTCATGGATCATGGAGTGGGCTTGGAAGTGGAGAAAATAGTCCCTGAAGCTTCGATTTGGGGATAGCAATTAGTTGAAGGAGATGGTCCAACCTAGGGTTATCCAGTCTCTCCATCAGCTTGTACCACTACCTTAACATCTGTTTTTCAAATTCCTGTGTGAAACAGTTTCTAGTCTATTCTCTGATCTGGGGAGAATTAGGGTGAATGACTGGAGGGGTTTACTTTTCAGCATCAGATTGGGAGATGAAATACATTTGAAATTTTCAGGTTTAGGTAGCAGCTGCCAAAGCTTTAATCAGAACTGTATACTTTAATTACATAAACTAAAGTCTTTCATTTTTTGAAACTCACTGAAAAATCTTTCTGAAATTCAAAAACCTTTAAAAATCCCTAAAATTTGAAGAAAAAATAATTTCAAACATCTTCTGTGTCCTAAACATTAATTTGGAAGAAGAGCAATTCTTATTGAGAACAAGGGATAAATTTAATGATTAGACATGCTGTTTTTCATTCGAAGAAGAGATTTAATTCCTGCCTTAATCAGTTCTCTCAAGGCGCCCTTAAAATGAGGCCTGAACAATAGCTGCAGTGTAAACAAAAATCATTAAAATGACTCTTCAAAGAACCTTTTCTGCATTGTGTAGATATGTACTTAGAAAATTTTAAAAACTACTTTTATTCCTATAGTGAACTGTAATAACCTTGAAAGAGCCCTTTCATTGAAACCTTGAAAGAGCCCTACAACCCTGCATTATAGTCTGCAGGGTTAATAAGTATTTACACACATTCTTTGCTATTAGTGATTTATTACTGTTAAACTAAGATTAAATGTAAGCATGCAGGGCAGGAGTTGAAAGTAAGTCAAAAGCAAGGCAGAGGAATGAGTGAGGAGAAGGTCAGCAATGGTTGGGAATGATTTGTGCCTGCTCTCCCCACACAAGTGAGTAGATCACTCTCTCTTCAAATAGTCAACCAGACCAGCGTTTTGCAGAAAAATTTTGAAGCTTGGCCAGTTGATCCCGCGCTCCGATAGAAAGTCTAGATGA